TCTCTCTCTCTCTCTCTCTCTCTCTCTCTCTCTCTCTCTTTCTTTCTTTCTTTCTTTTATTAAGTTTTGCTATGGGGCACATCTGTTCACTAGAGACAACAAGAAGGGAGAGAGTGAGGCCAGCAGATGGCATGATAATTAAGGCACTAGTGTTAGATTAAGCTGATTTAAATTTTTCATTTCTTTAATTACTATTGAATTTGTAAATGTGTTTTTGTATTTATTTGTAATTCAACTGCCTCTTTAATATATGTGTTGAAATCTTTTATTTACTTATGTTATATTTAAATACTGCAGATCTTTACAGCACACAAAATGAATTTCCCCAGCATGAATACACTATACATTAGTCCAGTCCAACATACTACCGTAAACATTATCATCAATAGATACTTTTTTATTTTTGTGTTCCTAAAATGTATTGCTTTTTAAATTTTAATTTCTACCTTTCTGTTCCCCATTGCCCATCTTCTTCCCATGCTATCTCTAGTATCCACAGTTGCTCTCTATGCCTTTATACATTTCAATCTCTCAGTTTCTACCACAGAGTGCAAGCATTCAGTATCTAGGAAGTGGGACATCTCATGCCTCACTTGCATAGTCTGACTTGATTCACTTAACATTAAATCTTCAATGTTTGTCAATTTTCTATCAAATGCCAGGGTCTTATTTTTTTTATGGCTGAGTAGTATTTCATGTTTATATGTGTCACACTTTTTCAACACATTTATCTGTTCTTCCACCTTTAGGTTGATGCCATGTCTTAATAATTGTAAATAAGGCTGCAAAAACCACGGATGTGCAAATGTTTTTCCAACTCTGTGTATTTCTTTCCTTTGGGACAGATAACCAGAAATAGAATTGCCAAATGATGTGGTAGTTCTATTGTAGGTTTTTGAGGAACCTCCATATTGTTCTGCACAGTGCCTGAACTAATCTACTTTTCCACCAACAGTTTAGGAGAATTCCCTTTCCACTGCAGCCTCACCAGCACTAATCAGTT